CAGGCATTACGCTCCCACCCCCTTTTCCTTACTGCCGGCTGGATGGAGACTTCAGAGAGAACTACATGAAAGGTAATAGCCCCATTCTTATGGTTAGTCCTTTTGGCGATATCCACATTCAGTCTCTTTGAAGTGTACTGAAGGAATTGAGGGCCATAAAGCCCCTTTGTTCACCCCCTTCCCTTCACCGTATGGCAGAATCCAGGGAAGGCAGAAATGGGATTTTCTATATTTGATAAGTAGAAATGAAATATAATTGGATTCTGACAGAAACTTTGCAACTGTTTCCTGGTTTTGGGGGTAGCCCAGTCCAAGACTGCCCTCACTTTCTCAGGATCCATCTCTATTCCTTCATTTGATATGCGATAACACAGGTAATCTATGCGATCTTTGTGAAATTCACACTTTAACAGTTTGACATATAGTTTAGCAGAGCAGTTTTTTCAGTATTGCTCTGACCAGTTTAATGTGTTCATCTTTGGTCTCAGTATAAATAAGGATAAACCAAACCCCCCTTATACAAATGATCACATAGGGCTTCGTTGATCAGCTGCATGAACACTGCAGGAGCCCCTTGTAATCCAAATGGGAGAACATTAAACTGGTAGCAACCCAATGGGCAATTGAAAGCAGTTTTCCACTCAACACCTTTCTTTATTCTTTGCGGTAATAAGCCTCTCTCAAGTCCAGTTTTGAAAAAAAAAATCCTTTCAATAGGTGCACTAGCTTGTCCTTCATTAAAGGTAATGGATACATGTTTTCCACACAAACAGCGTTCAGGGCCCTATAATCAATGCAGAGATGAAGAGAGCCATCTTTTTTTGTCTGAATAGAACAGGGGCTGCCACCCGAGGTCTGGCTGGCTCGATAAAACCCCGCTTTAGGTTCTTTTTGATAAATTTTTCCAGTTCGGTTAGCTCCCTGGGATTCATCGAGTACATTTTTAGCTTTGGTATTTTCGCCCCTGGAATGATCTCAATAGCACAGTCTGTGGGTCGGTGAGGGGGGAGTTCATCTGCCCTCTGCTCACTGAATGCTTCAGCTAAATCTCTGTAGTCCATTGGGAGGCTTTGCAAGTCTGACTCATTGAGGGCAGAGGCAAAATCATAATGTAATCCATATCTCCTGCCAGTTTCTTTAAGGACAGGCAGGGCTCCCCCCTGTGGGAATCTTAGCTGTCCTTCCCTCCAGTTGATCATGGGGTTCCACTTTTTTAGCCAAGCCAGCCCCAAAACTAAAAGCCACTCCATACCCGGAGCCACAATAAATACTAAAGTCTCTGTGTGGCTACCCAGGCCAATGTGTAAGCTCAACCCTCTCGATTGCGATCCCAGGGGAGCTCTATGGTTTCCTCAGATCTCATAGCAGTCTCCCTTGGGCATGATGGGGTTCTCAGAGTCTCCCAGCCAGCAGACGATCCCCTCTCTTGGCAGGTGTTTTGCTGTGGCAATCCACAGCTCGATGTCCTTTCTTGCCACACTTGAAGTAGGCGGTGCTGTGAGGCGGGGCCGGTGAAGATCAGGCAGTCTCCCCCCACTTCTCGGTCTGCAGCTTGAAGCTTGATTTCAAGGGCAGTGCTGATGCTTGTGTTGATTGATCTCCACTTCCTCAGCCAGAAGGCACCAATTGTATAGCCGCCGAGGGACTCTGCAGCCATTGTACAGTTTCGTTGAGTCCATCCTGGAAACAGCTTACCAGGATGTCCTCTGGCCAGCGCAGGTGATTGCCAACTCTGTGAATTCCTCGATGTACTCAGCGACTGGTCTCCTTCCTTGCTTCACTGTCTTAATATGCTCCCAGGCTTTCTTATCAGCCAGCTGGTCTTCGAAGTGTCTGTGGAGGGCAGCCATAAAATGGCTGAAATTTCTCAATTCAGATGTGTTGCAATTATACAGGGTCACCATTCAGTCAGCTGCTCCCCTTTCTAGCGCCAAGTGACCACTTGAACTTTCTCAACATCAGTAGGCAGTGTTCTCCCATAAATTTGCATGTAGGTGAACACTTGTGCCAAGAAGTAACTCAGTCACTTCAAGTCTCCATCAAACTTTACCCTGATTGGGATCGGTTTCACCTCAGCCAGCTGAGGTGCTCTGCCTCTGACTCGAGACGGACAGCCCCATCGCTGTGCTGCCATCTTGGGAACCTCTGGCTCATCTTCCTCTGATTCCTCCTCCGACTCTTCTTCCAACTCACGGCTTTCTTTCAACTGCATCTTAAATTCATCAAGGATCTTTTTCATGTACTCCATCACAGCTTCCATTGGCCCCGCTTTCGGCTCCTCTTTCTCTCCGTCTTTTATCAGGAGGGGCATGTTCTGGATTCTTTTTCTTTGCCTTTTTTCCTCCTCCTCGGGTCAGGGTAACTTTGGGGTTTTTTTCCTCCCATCCTTCCTTCTTACTGACTCCAAGTGACCATCTGGCTTGGTCTTCTTCGCCAGAAGGTCCAGCTTCCTCCAGGTCCCTGGAGAGGCTTTCATCTGCTTTCAGGCAGAGGAGATCTTCGGACCATTTCTCTGCCTGGAACTCCTCCATGTAGATATCATTTGCAACTCCCCCGGTAGGGCAGTAGCTTCTCTGGGTTGAGTACTATGCAGATCTTGCCTTATGTAAGGACCCACTTCAACTAACCATCCAAGAAAGCAGAACTCTTGAAACAGGCATTATTAGGGGTCCGTGACAGTAGGGAAGTCAAGGGGAAAATCTGGGAAAAAGCCCGCTGAAACGGTATAGTTAAGCAAGCAATATTCCTCCTCCCACCAAAGTCATAATGTCCATTTGAAATCCAGCCAATCCACAGAGCAGTTAATTGGCACAGTTGGCGTGCATCTCAAGATCTTCAGTTTTGTTTCTTTGTAACCGTCTCCCTGATAAGGGAGACACATTCCTTTCTCAAGGGGATGGAGGCAACAAGAGAGAGTAGAAAGCGAAATTATCCCAATCTAAATGCAAAGCTCCCCCTCCACCAACAGAATGGCAGGCCCCCAAAGTAGGATATATATGCAAGGTAAAGAATAAGAGTTTGAGGACTTGACAATGATTCAGTCAAGTTTGGTCCAGTTACTGATCTCTGCCCTTTTTATGCAGACTATATTGTCTTTGGGCATGGCTCTTCTCTATTTTATGCTTTACAACAAACTTCTTGCTCCTGGAAATTAGCAAATAAACAACCTTCTTTTATCCTAATCTTTTCTATCTCCTGCAGATACAAATTTTGCCATTTGGACCACCTTCTTGCAATACAAAGTTAGGACCTATCTTGTCCTGGTGATCTGATTGTTAGCTACTGTTCTGCAGGATTTCCTTCTGACAGTGGCTCTTCTGCAGTGTCCTGCCACTTCTGCCAAATCTGGCAGCAGATCTCCAGGCTGCAGGGTCTTGGAAGGATGGGAAACGAACAGCAACCAGTCTTTCTGGACACCAATTCGCCTATCCTGTGTACAATCAAAATAGTATAAGGTCTCCTATTTGAGAAGGAGGTTGGACTACAAGACCTCCAAGGTCCTTTCCAACTCTGTTATTCTCTATTCTAAGTGTCAGGAGAAGGGAGTTTGGAAGGAAGCTTCCAGCCCCCCTCCCCTAAAGTTGTCCATTTAGCCCTGAGAAAAATGGGGGAACACTGCCATTCCATATAGTACATGGGGCGGGGGGAAGAAATGAGTCTTAAGTAATCACTCCATGGGATGGGAGAATTGACACTCAAAAGACCGACTTTAGCCTCCTCCATTTTCCTTGTGAACAGAACATCTCTTCTGTCTCACAGCCAAAGCAAAATTTGAATAATGGAAATGTGGCCAGCATATTTTTCTGCAGGCTCAGGGACTGGAGATTTTAACACTGTGGACTGGATGTGCTGTCTGAGCAAAATGTTCTGCGGGTTAAATTATCATTACTGCCTGGAAAAAATAACAGACCTAAGTTTCCTTTTGCTGCTCTAAAAGTAAACACATTTTATGTACAGCCTTTTCCATCCTGCCGCCCAGCTCTAATGGCAAAGCAACTGCTGAAATGGATAGCCCAGTGGTGGCAAATCTATGGCACGGGTGCCAGAGGCGGCACTCAGAGCCCTCTCTGTGGCCACAGAGGCCTCGCCCCAGTCCTAGGCCTTCAGCTGGGTTTTATAAAACCTTCTCACTTTAGGCCTCTGCCACTGTGTGCAAAAAAAAAAAAAAAAAAGTTCAATCAGTCAATTTTAACTTCTCATGAAAAAAAAAATCTTGCAAAATTGGAATTGATTGATTGAACTTTTTAGTCCCACCCAGTCTGCCGTTACTACCGCAGCCACGCCCACCCAATGGATCACACCCACCCAATGGGGCACGCCCATCCAGCACCAGGAGATGCATAAGTGGGTTTTGGGTTGGAATTTCGGCACTTGGTCTCTAAAAAGGTTCGCCATCACTGGGTTAGCTGACAGAATGGAAGATAGCTTCAGGGAAAGCGGATGGTGTAGGACTGAACATGCTGCCAGAAGAGACTTAACTGTACAATCACATTGCTTCCTTCCTTGAATTTCTCTGAGAATCCCGATGGTGTTTTTCTATTTGTGCCTCTCCAGCAAATTTGAAGAATTATCTCCCTACTGTGGCCGATACTATATAAATATGTTGAAAAAAAAAATAGCTTGGGTCGGCCTTCTTCCACACTTACTTTTCCTTTTTTCCCTCTTTTCCACAAAGATGCTTCTAAACACAAAGCTACTTTCACCGCCCAATAGTTTCCCATGGCGAACCTTGAGGCCTGACTTTACGGCGTGTGGACTTGTATCCACAGAAAGCGCGACGACCAGACTCCTCTCCAGTCCCGCCCCGCCTGCTTCGCCATTGAATTCTCGTAGGAAGGAGAAAGTCCTCCTACCAGATTCTCGGGGCCCGGCTTTTCCCCTAAGCCCGGCTTGGCGCATGCCCCGGGAACGCACTGCCGTTACTTCCCGGGAAGTCCCGCTGTAGTTGGAGCACCACCGGGAGAAAGCCCAGATCCCGCCTCCAACCAGGTCCCGCCCCGCTTCGGATCAGGCGGAGGAGGTGGCTAGTGCCGCTACCGTGCCTTCAGAACGTCGCCAGCTTGGCGCGCAGCCTGCTTGGGGAGCCGCTCGCTGTCCCTCGCCATGCCGGTGGGAGCCTCTCCCCCGGTCAGGTCTCGATATAACCTAGTGGACGACAGGCACGACCTGCGCATCCCGCTGCATAACGACGACGCCTTCCAGCATGGCATCGGGTTCGAGGCCAAGGTAGGGGCCGGCTGATGGGGCCGGGCAAGGAGTGCTTTGGGCGCTTCCAAAGAACGAGGAGGGCTAGAATTGGTCAGGGGAGGAAATGGGGCTTTCGGCGATTTGAATCTCGGCTCCTTTGGTCTTTCGGAACTTCCTCCGCTCTGATGTGGAACAGTTTTGGTCGCTCTTCCTTTAGTTCTCGGCTCGCGTTTGGATGTTTTTACGGTCTTCTGAAACTCTACACTCGGATCCCGGGGTCAAGTTTAGGAAGGGTTGAAACGGAGTCTGATTGGGGCTTCGAATTCCACCGCTCAACACCCTCGGGGAGAAAAGACGCTTGTTCCTGCTGATCAGGTCGACTCCGGTGGTTATTTTTCCTGCTGAGCTCCGCTGTTGCATCTTTGCGCAGCTTTGAAGTTCTTTTCGGGGGGGGGGTGTGTGTCAAACTGTTATCTTTACGGTACAAATAGCTTCTGAGGCTTGTTCCTCTGAGGTTAAGTCCGGAGACGGGATGAAGTTGCTTTGGAGGGGTCGACGGTTCTGCCAAAGACGCTTCCGAGGCATGATTCCTTAGTAGCTGAGTCCGCCTCGTTGGCTTTTCTAGTCATTGATTGGTTCAACTTTCGCTTGCATTCTGGGAATTCAGTTTTCAGGTTAGATTACACCTGCAGATACTTCCTCGTTTTATTCCGCACAGATTTAATGTCTGAAGTTTCAAGAACAGGTGTTTTTCACTTTTGCCTTTATTCAAAGACCCAGCATCTTTGGATGCAAATAAATATGCAGCAATTATACTGTGATTATTTTAGAAGCTATAATTCAGGATAACAATAAGGGGCAGTGGACCATGTCTTTTTACCTTACTGTACTTCTAAACTACAAATCCCATGAATATCTTTCAGAAAACTGTCACTGTGCAAGACTACTTTGGTCTCCCAATTAAGCACTTTTTAGATTGAAATTATACTCCAATCTCAATTAATAATTTATACAAGTATTACAAAAATGTGAGTATTTTGTTTGTTTCCAGCATCAGTCCACAACCAGAAAATGACTGATATAACATACTCTACAAAGTTGTAATGAGGAGAAAACGAAATAGCTTATTGAATGTATCTTTTTCTAATTGATATTTAACTATAAGTAACCTAATGCAACACAGCCTTAATTTCTGTGATGCTCTTATGCTGACTGCTCATTGATTCTTTAAAAATGTAGAATTGCAGACCCACATTGATACAATGTTTGATATAAAGCAAGTAAAACTAACTTTAAAGGCAAGTGTTTTTGGAAAACTGCACAATTGCTGGAAACATAGATGGGCGGTGGCTTCCCAGCCTTTTGATACATCATGCATATTCTCCAGTTTCCCTTGCAAAATAGACAAACAGAAGGCTTAATGAAAAGAATGGGAGATAGAAATTGGCAGTTGATCCAGTGAAAGAGTTGAGTATTGGGTACCAGGGACAAAAGAAGGAGCCAAGAAATACAGATAGCAACTGATCACTTGAGTATAAGGATCATTGTGGAGACAACTGTTGTTAGGTAGCACAAAGGAAAAAGTTCTAATATTTTCCATAGGCTCCTTAAAGGTTGGCTGCTGTCATTTGTGGAACCTACATGACACAGATAAGCTCAGAATTGGTCTTTTCTTTAGACTTTGAAATTGTCTTGCTGTGTATCATCTATGGTAACTATTTCTCAGTTAATAAAAACACTTTGAACTCTTGAATTAAAAGCAGGGTACACATAAGATAAATTAAGCTGCATACATATAATGTCTTGCACTGATATTCTACTACACACATCACTGATGTTCATCTAGCCCCACAATCCACTCTTTTTTTTAATTGTGGAGAATTCTGACATCATTGACCTGTTTTTAAAAGTGATGTTATTGTCCCTGTTTCATCCATTAGCTACTTATGTCTGAAGCAGTCAGTTCTAGTTCAGACACAGAGAAGTTCCATCCTTAGGGACTGGCAGGAATGAATAACTAACAATGTGCTACTTATAGGATCCAGGTTCTTCATCTACTATATTGCATTTATGTAGTTATTTATTTGGGCCAGATATTATTCCTCTGTAAATAGTGTTCACAGGAGAAGAAAAAAAAAGTTCATTTTCTCTTATGCAGTGGCACAGAACCTTATCCAGCCTAATGCTTTCAGTAAATGACAGATGTGAGGGAGGAATGCACACCACAAACCATGTAGATATCATTACTGCATGTGTGGCTACTTTGATTCCATTAACATATTTCAAAAACCTTGATCTACCAACCCATATACAAATATCTTTATGGAATTCACAGGAACTTAGCTATTTTGTCATTGGTATTGGGGAAAGGTATCATAAGTGGTTATTTTTGAGCCCATCTTAGGGAAAATGTTCTCCTTGGCATTTGGGCAATGATCTGTATGGTCAGATGTTTATTGATTAGTACATCCATCGAAAAAACTGGCTACTTCTCATACAGTCTTCACTTAATTATCAATATTTGGAAATAAATTTGGTGAGTTGATCTGCTAATATCAAGAACACAATTTTGCTCTATTTTGGCTATTAATAACTTTACAGCACCCTTAACAATGCCTTGCACTTAAAAGAAACAAGCAACCAAATGTTTTATAAGGAAGGATATTTTGGGGAAGACAGAATTTTGCCTTTCATGAAGAGCTTTACTCACACTCCCAAGAAAGAAACCACAGTGATCCTTCAGGTCTCCTTGCATTATTCAGGTGGTGGAGGACTTGGATACATAGATGTGAAGGACAGAGCCAGTTGAACGAGCATCATTCTGTGCCCAATTTTGAGACTGTGTAATTTGACTTTGTGCATGAAGCACATCTTTAACATCAAAATGCATGATATTATTTTATGACTATTGTACATCTCCTTCATAGTTCATCTGGTTTTGAGCAATTAATTTTTATAGGATAGAACAATATCAAAAAGTACATAATAAAGATAAAGAATGATTTGATTTCTAGAGTGTAGAAATGCTAGAAGAGGCCAACTTTAAAGAGAAAACAGTCAGATAATATATCAGTGACAAAGGGAGAGACATGGATGAGAGGGCAGAATTTATACAATAAGCAAAAGTTGAAGGTATCTCTATAGACTTATGGGAAGTTCTTGAAGATCATATGAGGATGACATATATACTTCATGTGTGTGGACAGACATACATATATACACCTATAGAAACACATACATAAAAACAAGTCGACAGTGCCCTGTTCTGATTCCATTTGGCTCTTTAAAATTTTTATCAACTGGAAAGTTATAAAATTAATTGTATTTTCTCCTGACCACCATATGTTGAATATTTCTTGATCAGTATTGTTTACCTCCTTCTACAACAGTCTGGGTTGAGGCTTCATGGATAATAACAATTCTTATAACTGTATTTAAATAATAGCACTTCTGTGAGTGTAACTTCATATTTCCTGCATATACTGTATCCAGACTCAAAATATAGAAGTCCCAAACAAGGTATCTGAAATCCTGTAAGAAACTGATACAAGAAAGGAGCTTTATAACGTTATCAGGCTGCTGTTTTTCTTTAGAAAATGCTTTCAGGTAATTATTGCTTGCCCTTTTGCAAGATTATTTTACAGATAGGACATTAGTTGAATTGAGTAATATGTCTCAGTAACTTTTGTATATGACTTCTAAATGTTAATCAAGGTATTTTAACATAATAGATTCTCTCTATGTTCCAAGGGACTATTGGAGAGTCTCTAGGTAAATTATGCATGGAGCCCAGTTGATGGAGCAATGAGGGTGTGAAGTAGCAATAATGAGATAGTCCCCTCCCCTTCTCCTTTTCTATAAATTTCAGAATATTCCAGGCTGACAATGGATGAGAGCTTCCATTCTACATTACCATGACTTCTCAGCAGACAGCTGGTGATGATAATCCAGTACTGCCATTTGGCTGTATAATTTAAAGGCATTACTCTTTCTAAATTATAGGGAGGAAGATTCTGATTAAACACTAGAAACTTAGAGGAGGAGTGTCGTACTGGACCTGGCTGGCTAGGGAGGTTCTGAAATCATGCCAGTTTTTCCCAGAAAGGAACAGGCAGATGGAGAGCTTATATTCGAGATATAACAATTGGTTGGAGAGCCTGATTTTCATCTTTTAAATATTCCAAACAGGTGGTTAGTTAGCAACTCATATTCTCTTAAGTAATTATATAGCAGGCTTAAGAGAAGGTTCTGTTTAGATATTAAAATTATGGTACAACCAAGTCAAGACTGTTTTTATTTTGGGGGGGGGTCACTGTTTTCCATGTATCTATAAGTATAAGAGAAATAAGTTTTAGATGGATGTGGAAATGTATATTTGTGGAAATGTATGTTTCTGAAAAGGTTGCTCTATCTTCTGTGAACCAAATGGTCACAATTTGACAACTGTACTTGTTCCTTCAAATCACAACTGATTCTGCTTATTTTGGGTATATTTGTTCCCTTTGGTCATATGCACCTCCTTCAGATTACACATTTTGTTCACTTTGCTTGAGTGATTCAGTAGTCCCAGATTAGAAAAAAAGAACTGGCTTGCTCAATGTCACAGGATAATCTGACTTCTTCTCACCACAGAATCTCCTCCTGCTTCATCCTGCCTTTTTAGACAACATGTCATTTATATCCAGGATTATTATATTACAAACATTAGTGTAAAGGGGGAAGGCAAAGGCAGTACCTTGTTTGGGTTGCAGAACAGGATTCCTGCTTTATATTTAGATTAATCTCTATAATTTTAATCCCATTTTTAAATGGTGTGGTTGAAGCCAGAACTAGCCAGTATATGCTATGAATCAAAATCTTAAATGGTAGTTAATTACAAACACCATTCTTCTTCTCTCATAAACCAGCAAATGACCAGGTTTCTATTAATTTTTCACAGTTATCATATGATTGTTGGTTTTAAAACAAGTTGGCAAACTGCATGAAAGTTGGAATCAAGAATTTGTAAAATTATCTTCTACAAAGAGTAGAACTTTGAA